AAGTATGCCTGATGAGAAAATTGTGGAAAAAATACTAAGGACATTAACTGAAAGATTTAACTATGTGGTCTGCTCTATTGAGGAGTCCAAAGACGTAAGTCTTCTTTCTGTTGATGCTCTTCAGAGCTCTCTGCTAGTCCATGAGCAGAAGTTCCACAAGAAACCTGCTGTAGAGGAAGATCAGGTGTTGAAAACCACTTATGAAAGTGGTAGCAGGGGTGGCAGAGGACAAGGTAGAGGTTTCTTTGGTCGAGGAAGAGGTAGAGGTGGAAGAGGATGGAGTAGAGACACTGTAGAGTGCTACAAGTGTCACAGGCTGGGACATTACAGAAGTGAATGTCCAGAGTGGAATAATCAGTATCAACAGGCTCATTTTTCAGCATCAATGGATATGAAAGATGATGTTTTACTGATGGCTTGGATAGAAGAAGATGAAATGGTCATTCATGAGGAGGAGAAGGAACCAGAAGTGGCTGTTACTCCCAAGATTTTTCTGCCAGATGCACCTGAGGAACCTGACTATGCCATGGCATTGCTTGAGCCAACTGCAGCTGAGTCAAGATATGAAAGTTGGTGGTTCCTAGACTCAGGTTGTAGCAATCATATGACTGGAAATAAGGAGTGGTTTACTTCAATTGAAACCACAGGAACTGGTTTGGTGAAGCTTGGGAATGGCACAAAGTTAGAGGTCAAAGGGAGAGGATCAATCAGAGTGAAGACTGATCTGCAGACTCTGGTGATTCAGGATACATATTATGTACCTGGTTTGAAAACAAACCTATTGAGCATTGGTCAGCTACAGGAGAAAGGTTTGGAGTTCTTAATCAAAGGAAATGTGTGTCGAGTTTATCATGAAACTAAGGGCTTACTTATGAATGTTCATATGAAAACAAATAGAATGTTTGTTGTTCACTGTGAGCTGCCTGGTGATCAAGTGAAGTCTGAGCTTCAGTGTCTTCAAATCACAGCTGCTGACACTCTAACTCTCTGGCACAGGAGGTATGGTCACATAAGTTATCAAGGATTAATTGGTTTACAGAAGAAGAGCATGGTGACTGGTCTGCCAGTTTTGAAAGGAACACCTGGTATATGTGCTACCTGCCTTGCTGGAAAGCAGCACAGGAAGCCTTTTCCAAAGAGAAGCCAATGGAGAGCTAGCAAGAAGTTAGAATTGCTTCATGCTGACTTGTGTGGACCAATTACCCCTACATCTAATGGAGGCAAGAGGTATGTTTTCACCGTCATTGATGATTTCAGCAGAAAACTGTGGGTTTTCTTTCTGGCTCAGAAATCTGATACTCTGGGAGTGTTTAAGACTTCAAAGCTCAAGTTGAGAAAGAGGTTGGCACAGGGATTTGTTGCTTAAGAACTGACAGAGGAGGTGAATTCCTGCTTGGTGAGTTTCAAAACTTATGTGAAGAAGCTGGTATTAAAAGACAGTTGACTGCAGCCCTGACACCACAGCAAAATGGTGTTGTTGAAAGAAAAAATAGGGCAATAATGAACATGGTTAGGTGTTTGCTATCTGACACAAAAGTTCCAGCAGGTTTTTTGCCAGAAGCAGTGCTGTGGACTACTCATGTTCTGAACAGAAGTCCCACAGCTGCTCATGAGAACAAAACTCCTCAAGAGGTCTGGACTGGTCATCCCCCATCTGTTGATCATTTCAAGGTATTTGGCTGCATTGGTCATGTTCACATACCTGACCAGCAAAGAAAGAAATTGGATGTTAAAAGTCAGCCTTGTATTTTTCTGGGATTATCATCAGAATCTAAAGCTTATAAGCTTTACAACCCACACACACAGAAACTGGTTGTGAGCAGGGATGTGGTCTTTGATGAGAGTCAAGGCTGGAGCTGGGATAAAGGGCCACAACCAGTTGATACAAGTCTGGTTTGGGAAGGTGATGATGAGGATTGGTATGATTCTGATGCTGATGAAGTTGCTGAAGAATCTGATGAGGCAGTTGTTACTGCATCACAGCCTACTCCAACTGCTACTTCAACACCACCAGTTCTAGAGACTAATGAAGAAGAAGAAGGTGGGGAGGACAGTGTTCCTAGTACTGATTCTGGTCCTACTAATGCTACTGCACTTGGTCCCAGACTCAGAAAGCCTCCTGCTCACTTGGATGACTATGATCTCAATTATGCTGCAGACTGGTGTGCCATGGTTGCAGTCACTGAAGATCCTTTGACATATGAGGAAGCCTCCCAGGATGAGAAGTGGAACAAGGCTATGCGAGTTGAGATGGCCTCTATAAAGAAGAATGACACTTGGGAACTTACTGTCTTACCAGAGGGAGCTAGATGCATTGGTTTGAAATGGGTTTATAAAACTAAACTAAAGGAAGATGGCTTGCTGGATAAGCATAAAGCAAGAGTGGTGGCCAAGGGTTTCTCTCAACAACATGGCATTGACTTCACTGAAGTCTTTGCACCAGTGGCCAGATGGGACACAATTAGAGCTTTTCTAGCCTTGGCTGCTGCACATGGGTGGCCTGTGTTCCAACTTGTTGTTAAAAGTGCCTTTCTCAATGGTACTCTCACTGAGGAAGTATATGTAGAGCAACCAAAGGGTTTTGTGGTTGCAGGAGAAGAACACAAGGTCTATAGGTTGAAGAAGGCTCTGTATGGCTTAAAACAAGCTCCTCGAGCTTGGTACAGCAGGATTGAGGGGTACTTTACCACTCATGGTTTTAAAAAATGTCCCTATGAACATACCTTGTTTGTCAAGAAGGTTGGAAGTAGTATTCTGCTGGTTAGTCTCTATGTGGATGATCTGATGTTTGCTGGCAATGACACTCAATTGATTGCTGAGTTCAAGAAGTCCATGGAAGCTGAGTTTGAGATGACTGACTTGGGGAGGATGAAGTACTTCCTGGGAGTTGAAGTCAGTCAATGTAATTCTGGGATTTTCATTTCTCAGCAGAAGTACACCAGAGAAGTTTTGGAAAGGTTTAAGCTTCTGGAGTGCAATCATGTGAAGAATCCTATGACTCCAGGGCTCAAATTTACCAAGGCAGGAGATGGAGTTCCAGTCAACTCAACAGAGTACAAGCAATTGATTGGGAGTTTGCTTTACATCACAGCAACCAGACCAGACATAATGTATGCTGTGTGTTTGTTGAGCAGGTTTATGGAGAATCCTACCAGGCAACATATGCTGGCAGCCAAGAGGGTGTTGAGGTATCTTAAAGGAACACTTGGTTATGGTGTTTGGTACAGAAAAGAGGCTGGGGAGGAATGTCTGCAAGGGTTCACAGACAGTGATTATGCAGGAGATGTAGATGATAGAAAGAGCACCAGTGGATATGTGTTTTTCTTAGCAGGTGGAGCTGTGTCATGGGCATCAAAGAAACAACCAGTGGTGACACTTTCTACCACAGAAGCAGAGTTTGTTGCAGCTTCATTCTGTGCAACTCAGTGTGTCTGGTTAAGAAGAGTTCTGTGTCAAATGGGTTGGGAAGAGAGTGTGAAGGGAAGCACAACAATCTACTGTGACAATAGCTCAACCATAAAGCTCTCGAAAAATCCAGTATTTCATGGTAGGAGTAAGCACATAGATGTGCGTTTCCACTTCCTAAGAGACCTGGCAAATGAAGGAGTGGTAGAGCTGGAGTATATTGGGACAGGAGAGCAGGTGGCAGATGTGATGACCAAGCCTCTGAAACTGGAAGTCTTTCAGCTGATGCGAGACAGGCTTGGTGTGTGTGATGGTGGTGAAATCGAGTGACCAGATTCGAGGTGAACTGAAGGAAGAAGGAGACTTCAGTTCAGGGGAGGATGTTAGAAGAAGGATTGAAGTTGGAGTGAAGAAGTTTGGCGCCATGTTTCAAAGTTTGAAGTTTGTGTTCTGTGTTTAGCAAAACTTTGTCGTGTGGAAATTTACTGTTTGGTCACTGTTGATATGACTTGAATCGGATTATCAGCCGCTACGACTGGTAATCGGGGGTCTGGGCCTGGTCTGTAACCGTTTCCTTTGCTAGATTGGATTAGGTTTAGACCCACATGGAGAAGTAGTATAAATACTTCTCATACTCCTCTGTAATCTGTAATCTCCTCAGATATAGTGAAACTAGCTCTCTCTCGCCCGTGGACGTAGCTAACACACATCGTGTTAGTGAACCACGTAAATCGTGTGTCGTGTTTTCGATTCTCGCTTTCGTATTCTTGCTTTGTCGATCCCGGCGATTTCCCGATCCGTAGCAGCGCGTTTATAACAGTCACCTTTGTTATGTTTGTGTTTATTAGAGTCCAGCAGTTCAGTAGCTTTGTGTAGAAGGCAGTTTAGCTTGACAGTTAAGGTTTAGGTGATCGTGGTTAGTGGCAAACCGAGATTGCTGAGTCTGTATATAAGTTCCTTTGTGCTTTATGGAATAAACTGTCAGTTTGCATTCTTTTGTGTTTAACAGTAGAAGTACTAGAGCGACTGACAGGAATCCAGAAAGCAATTCCAGAGAGAGGTTTAGGAATCAGAGTGAGAAGAGAGAAGGAGGGGGAACCCATCAATGGAAATAGGGAAAGGAAAGAATGCAATCCAGAAACCAAAGCTTAATTAATGGAGACTCACCAAGAAAGGCATTGTGAATTCTCGAGCCGGAAATTCACAGAGAAACGGCGGAAACGAAATCCCAGAAAGCTAAACGAAGGAAAGGGAAACTGAATCGTCTTCTTGAGTTCAGGAAAAAACAGTGGAGGTTGTGGAGAGATAGGCCAAAGAAGATGGCTATGGAGACTCTTCTTCTGTCAACTGGAGAGAGAGATGGAACGGAGCAGAGCAATTTATGCTGCCATGGAATCTGTTTTTTTTTTTTTTTTTTTTTTTTGTGGTAATGATTCTGTTTCAAATAGCTAGACAGTGGCGCGCAAATGGTTAGCATGGGCCAGAGACGGGTTCAGTCCGATGAGCTTTACTGGCCCAATTGAACGTTTGAGCCCAATGTCGAAGCCCTTTTTCCTTTCGTCTAATCTTAGTTACCCTTAAACCTCGAACCAGCACAAAACCCTCGGGAACGAATTTGCAGACGACGATGGCTACGGCGAAATGGTGGCGTGGGATGAGAACGGCGGCGAAATTCCCTCCGCCGTCGGTTCAGTCGCTCTACTCTCCGTCTTCTCCTTACCACACGATCCAAGCCATACCTCGGGAAGCCACCGGAAGCCGAGACAGGACTCAGGGGAGGATCCCGGCGGTGGTTTGTTTTTCCGCAGAACCTCCTCTCGAGAAGAATCCTGATGCTCGCTCCTCCTCGGCCTCCAGGAAGCGGCTGTTGACCACCGAGAAGAAGCAAATTCTATCCATTCTGAATTGAAGGTTGCTTTCAGAGGAGAAGAGAATTGCCCTGGTCTTCAGAAAGGTAATTTGCTACTTCCCTTATTCAATTTGGGAATGGAAGGAAGTAAGTAGAGAGCTAAGTTGGTCACCACTGCTTGGTAGTTCATAACGTTGTTTAGGTCCGCCAGTGTGTACATTCCATTCCATTTTTTGGGAACTTTCCACAATGGCTGCAGATTGTTGGCACTGGCTGCTGTTTGAGTAGTGATTTGCGAATTTTCTTTGTGTTTTTTAGTACCTTTAGTCAGTGTATGTAGAAATGGAGCGAGGTTGCGCAGTCTGCTGGTTCGTTACGTTCATAAGGCGGTTTAAGCGAAAGTTGGTTGGATAAGTGGGAATGTGATTGATGCAGTAAAGTTCTATCCATGGGACACATGGTTCTTGTTGCTGTATCCTGCTGTGTATGTGTTCACCCTGGAAGTTACTCTTGAAATTCTAATTTCTACCCCAAAATCTGTCGCAGATGCTCTTATCTTTTAATTGCTGCAGTACTGTAAAAGCATTAGTGAAGTTCCACTGCATCTTTCTACTGATAAACATGCAATGCTGATAGTTTTAGGCCACCTGGTTGCTACTTCGTGATAGATTTCGCATTTCTCGTATCGTTTGGCATTCCTTCAATTGGCTGAAGAACTTATGTTGCTTGCCACAGCTACTTGATTTGATCATTGATGAACACAATATCCCTCCATGCGATGCTTTCACAGAATTGATCAAATATGCTCAACCAATGTGCTACCATTTTGATGCTGGTGGACAGGTGGCCGGTTGAACCAGTTCAGAACCAGCCTCAAGTTTCTCTGCACCGCGGAAAACATCCCTCAAAAGATCGAGGTCGACCTGAGCAGTCTGGACATTGGAGAGAGAATGTTTCCATTTCTCGCTGAAGCTTCTAAGCAAGGACAAGAGACCACCCCTGTTTGTAAGGTCGGTTCGACAGAATTGAAAACATCTCAACAAAACCCTGCTTCAGCTTAGTGAAGAATGAGCAGTGCCAGAAACCGCACTTCAGGGGGGGGTTTGCCAATTGCCATTCAACATGGAGAATTCGTCCTTGGAGCGTAACCTGATCCATATATATATCTCCAGTCAAGTTGATCAACATCATGCTCTCACAGAGCTGTTCTTGTAAGCAATGTGGAGTGATAGCAGTTGCTGCAGAATATGATTGATCGATCCAAGAATGCATACATGCAAAAGACCCGACAGAGTACTCTTCTGCCCTCTTCTTTCGTGATATATCTGAGCATGAAAATTCTTGAGATTCAGCAGCAATAATGTGCATTTTCGCTTGTAGAAAATTTGTTTGTTTGGTATATTTATGTAAGGTAGATCTAGCTAAGATGCTTACAACACCATCTGCTGTAAGGACGTCGTTACAACGTCCTCAACTATTCGATTAGGAGTTATTTGCTTCGCGATCGTTGAATGACACAATGTCAATTTGCGTTGTTCCAACTATAATTGCTCACCAGTGGTATTAAAACCAGTAAATAATAAATTTAATTTTCTCCTTTATTTCTTTCATAGACCGTACTGCTGAATCGGACGTAACTACCATAACGAACTTTCACTCCCAAAAAAAATGCAAGCAATAATATAATAAGCAAAAACCAGAAATAAACAAAAGTAGAGAGAGAAAATAAAAAAAAAGAAAGAAAAAGGGAGAAAAGAAAACAATTGGCGAAAAAGACAGAAGAACGAAAAAGAGGAAGAACGGAGGCGAGCCGCGAGAGCGAGCGGCGACTTCCCTCGCCATTTCCCACTTTGACTTCCTTTTCTTCTTTCTTTTTCCTTTGATTTTCTCCCAAGGAAAATAAAAAAAGGAAAACGCGGAAGGAGAAAGAAGGAAAAAAACAGCGGGAGCAACGAAAAACAAAAGAAATTCAAAGATCAAAATTCCGAATTTCTCCCGATTAGTTTGACCTCCCCCGCAACCGCTTCTCGCCAAACACCATTCTCCTCTCCTTCTTCTTCTTCTTCTTCTTCTTCTTCTTCGTGGCTTCGTTTCCTCAGCTCTCGCTTCCGTCGTCGTTCTCCGTGAGTTGGATTCCCGTCCGTCGTCCCCTGCGTCGCCGATTACGCCATGGAAAGAACGGAAGACCTCGGCAAGTGAATTTTTCGTGACGAACATGATTGTTGCTGTTTTGATTTCTCGCCACCATGCGCTGGCCAAGCCTATCCGCGTTCTCCTCCTCGTCCGCGCCTTCCTCCTCCGTAACTTCGCCTAAACCCGCCGACGACGAGGCCGCGTTTCAAAAGCACCACGGCAACAAGAAGCATGGCCAGAACCTCCGCAGCAACACCTTCGGCTTCCGATTCAATTCCAGCCCCGACGCCGCCCCCAAGCTCACCCGCCAGCGCAAGCTCCGCCATCTGACCGACAAGGATGTCGCCAGCAGCGACGGAGTCCCTGCCTCATCCAAATCGTCGCCGCCGGAGCCGCTCAAGCTCTCGCGGTCTCACAGCACTTCCTCGTCGCCGCCGAGGATCTCCACCAAGGCGCCTACCTCCCCTGTCCCCCTCCCCGTGCCTCTCCCGCTGCCGCAGAAGTTGCGGGGCGAGAATCTCCACGCCGCCGGCGAGGCCGACTCGCGGTTGCGGTCTCCCAAGGAGAAGGAGCACGATTCTTCCAGGGAGAGAAGTAACGGCGGTGGAATCGGCACCTCGCTCTCCACTTCCGCGCCTTGCAGGTGCATTCCTCTTTCCATTTTTCTGGACTTGCCATTTTCTGTATCCTGGTTCTTGACTTCAATTTCCCCGCCGATTCATGGAGAAATCAGACGTTTCTAGGGTTCTTGTTCTTTGAGTTTTGTGATTAATAACAGAACTAGAACTAAGATTATGGAGACGTCATCGACAGCGTTTGGCATTTTGCAAATTCAATTTACTCCAATAGATAACATTCCAAAAGCTTTGATCGCTTTCTCCATTTGTATTGAACACTATTCTCTTGCTTGTAGTTTTGTGATTAACAACAGAATTAGAATGATTCTGGAGACGTCTTCTAGAGTGTTTGGCATTTTGCAATTTCAATATACTCCAATTTGCTTGGATTGAATACTATTCTTTTGCTTGTAGTACGGGGAACAATCATAGTGTATTGGTTGGTCGAGAAACAAAGAAGACGGCAGAGCAGCAGCACCAGGAGCCGAGGTCAAGTACAGCGACGGTTGCTGGTCTAGATTTAAACAATTTTAGGCATGACAAAGCCGCTAAGAGTACATCTATGAGTCCCTACGCAAGTCCCGAAATAAGTCCACAGAGGATAAGCCATGCTTTCATCACATCTCCATACCACAACCTGATTCCAAACGGGAAGCAAGGTTGGTCTGCACCGGAGATGTCATCGTTAGATATACCAGGGCTCCCACCGCCAGCATATTTCGATTTGAGTAGTGATAGTTCGCCCCTTCAAAGCCCGGCACCAAACGGAAGTCCTCCATCTCCTGTGACTGCTAGAACTTCGTTTGAGACTTCAGCTGCTAGGCCACGTGACAGCAATGCAGGTGTAGAGGTTCACAAGTTGCCTCTCCCCCCTGGAGCAAATCTGCTGATATCTCCAACTCTAACTCCGGCGGCTGCAGCTGTGGTTCCTCCTGTTGCTCCTGCAGCTACTGCTGCTAAACAAGAGTATGTGCCCATGAAAAGTCAGTGGCAGAAAGGGAAGCTTATTGGACGTGGCACGTTTGGAAGTGTGTTTGTTGCCACCAACAGGTATGGGAGATTTCGGTGGTTGTGGATTTCATGTATTTGCCCTCTAACCTGTCTTCCTCATTGCACAATTGCTAATTGCAGTATACTGTTTTCAGGGAAACTGGGGCCTTATGTGCGATGAAGGAGGTTGATATGTTTCCGGATGACCCAAAATCTCAAGAGTGCATAAAGCAACTAGAGCAGGTTATCTTCCATATGTGTGGAATGCACAACACGGCCCGTTATATTGAGTGTTATGGCTGTTTCCACTTGCTGACTTTCTTTTCTTCTCTTCAGGAAATTAAAGTTCTTAGCCAGCTGAAGCATCCAAACATTGTGCAGTATTATGGTAGTGAAATAGTGAGTACCTCCCCTGCTGTGTTTTTATTTTATCTTCAGGTATCTGCTTGGTTTCTCTGTTTGAGTAATCAACGGTTTATTATGCAGGTTGAGGACCACTTTTATATATATTTAGAGTACGTTCATCCCGGGTCAATCAATAAATATGTCCGTGATCATTGTGGAGCTGTAACAGAATCAATTGTTCGTAGTTTTACCCGCCATATCCTCTCTGGATTGGCATACTTGCATACCATGAAGACAGTACACAGGTGAGTATAACATCCATACCTTTCACAAGTTTAAAGTATGGATACAGAGTTGTCACATATTTAATCGTACTGTTTCACTCCTCTGTGTTCTATAGGGACATAAAAGGAGCAAATTTACTTGTGGATGCATTTGGGGTAGTAAAACTAGCAGATTTTGGGATGTCAAAACATGTGAGTTCCAATTGTGTGGCCTATTTTCCATTTTTGTTAGTGGCCTATTCTACAAATGGTAATTTTCATGGACCTGTTGCTTGATCAGCTTACTGGACAAGTAGCTGAACTTTCAATGAAGGGGAGTCCTTACTGGATGGCACCAGAGGTAAACCTCCCGCCCGCACATCTGAACAGTATGATGGTGTTTTCTATTTTCTAACGCTAACTACTGTTTCTCTATGCACAGCTTATGCAAGCTGTTATCCAGAAGGATCATAACTCTGATCTTGCACTTGCTGTTGACATTTGGAGCTTAGGCTGTACGATCATCGAAATGTTCACTGGGAAACCTCCTTGGAGTGAGTTTGAGGGTGTAAGTAACAAATTTTGTACCAGCTTGTTTGCTACCCATATATTGTTGTCCGCTGATTTCGAGAATGCCTGGTTTTGACGATACATCGTTGTTTTCTTCTCTCGGCATTTTTTATGATTAATCCTTTTCAAACAAAAACTGCATTCCTACAGTATACATTTTTATAAATCACACATTTCAAACTACATGCACTTCCTAAAATACACGTATTCTACAAAGCAAGTTAACCGAGTGGCCCCTAGATTTTTTTTTCAGTCTCACCTTCACTAATAAAAACCTGCAGATAAGGTCATAAAACTTTACATAATCCAGATAGTCACAGGTTCTACTTCACATGATGCAGGCTGCAGCTATGTTCAAAGTAATGAGGGACACTCCACCTATACCCGAAACATTGTCAGCAGACGGCAAGGATTTCCTTCTTTGGTGCTTCAAAAGAAACCCTGCAGAGCGGCCTTCTGCTAGCTTGTTACTAGAACATCGGTGGTTGAAACAGCTGCATGATGCTCTTCCCTCATCTACCCCACAAATTAATGGCACTAAACCAATGGTAAAAATCATTTTTTTTATGAATACCAATGTTAAAAATTGTTACTAATGTATTAATCCATTCATATCCAGTAAAACATATACAACTCGTGTAATTCGCTACTCTGTGTTTCATATGACACTGGCAGGACACTAGCCGTAGCCTTAGAGTAACCGATGACAAGACTAGTAGGGCCGGACCAATGATTCCTCAACTTCCAACCTCACGAAGCTCCAAGGGAAAGTTCATCTCCGAAAAGTAAGAACTTTCTTCCTGCATTAACCCATGTCTCTACTTGGCAATGCCTTACCATTAACAGTATCCCCAATTCCACATCTTTGCAATATGTTAACAACTTTAGCATGTAGTTTATTCAACAATTTCAAGCCACTTATCCTATATCGATTAGCCATTTTTAATTACTGGGAGGAATACATAGATTCACCCAAATGCTGGCTCAAGTAATTATGAACAGTCAGTAAGCAATTATTGAAAAGTGAAGAAAATGGTTGTCATATCAAGTGGAATTGTCAAAAACTACGAAAGGTTCATCAGTGGCTGCGTAAGACTTTGAGCATATAGGTCTTGCAAGCCGATGCTGTTACTACTCTAACACCATGTTTTGGATTTGGCAGCTCCCCGATGTTAAATACTCGTGCAGTCCAGCAAGAGCGCCCGATGATCTCATGAGACTTCCAACCCCTTGGCAGTATAGTCTTCCCCTGTTTTGTTGTGGGCAAAGTTCTCAATATACAACTGCAAACGAACTCGGTCGAATCACCGAAGCAAGCCTCGTCCTAGTCTATTTTTTGCTTGGTGACGAAGTAGGCCGAGTAGAGGCATCGAAAGAGACCCGTCCAGTTGCCAAATTCACACTCGTATCGTATATATAATTTTCTAAACCACTTTCAGGGCATGAATCTCAGCTTAGATGAAGGCTTGTCCTGATTGATTGGTTTACTTGTACCGAGCTGCCGGTGGTGCGGTGATAGTGATCGCAATGTCTTCTTGTTTGTATGTAATGTGTGTTATAAGGCCCTAAAGAAGAAGAGGAAAAGGAAGGTGTCATTTTGCCTCCCATCTCCATTGTTGTGTAGAGGAGGAGAACAGATTGTATAGAGGAAGAGAGTGTAGGAAAAAAGGAAGAGACTCGGGAAAACGTCGGATTTCATATGTTAACATGTGTTTGACAGTTTGAGTTTGGTCTCGGTCAGGTTTATGGACTCTGGATTTAAGTTGGGCCGAAACAACTACAACAGACTGGTGGATCTTTTTCCAGGCCCAGTTATTTTCTCATTTAATTATGGCCATAAGCAGAAAACTATTTTACCCTTTCTGCCCGTCCTTTCCCCGCGAGTGTTAGATTACAAGGCAAAATCATTAAACAAGAATCATGAATATGCGAAATTCGAGGCAAATTAGCCGTCGTTAAAATCTCGAAGAAGGCAATTTTTCTTTTTTTTTTTACAGAAAGCATATTAAAAACGTCAAATAAGGAAGAAATTCCAATTCCATTACAAAACACCAAAACAAGTCGGTTGTACAGAGGAAGAAGACTAACAGTAGAACAGCATCAAGAAGGTTGCAATTCCAATCCAAATCCAATTCCTTTTTGTTCCCATCCTCTTTTATTGTCAGTCTGTTTCCGCCCTCTTTTTCTTGGCCGATTCCCAAACAGAAAACAGAGAGAGAGAGAGAGACGGAGACAGAACAGAGATGGAGCCGCCAGCAGGGCAGTCGATAGAGAGGGATTTAGAAGCAGGGGACGACGCCCAGGACCAAGCCATCAACGAATGGTATGCTATTCCCAAACTCCATTGATTTTGTTTTATCTTTCACTGGTTATCACTAATGGGTTTCATCCATTCTTTCCTCTTTCCCCTTCTTCTTCTTCTCCTGTGGCAGTTGTTCCTGCTTCTACGACTGCATTGAGGGCTGCCTGGATTTCCTGTGCTGCTCTTACCTCTGCAGCAGCTAATAATAGATTCAGGTGTTATGAATTTTTTTTTTTTTTTGTTCTGATGTGCACAGAGAGAGATAACGTATTGTACTGGTTTCGGAGACTCCATCAGTGAGAAAAGCTTCCATCTTTTTGCCTGCCCCTGTTTTTCAGTACTGCTTTTTTCTCTACAACTACTGCTCTGCTATTTCTGTCCGTTTTTATAACTAGTTTACCTACTAACTCCAGCTTGAGTTTAACAAGAGGATGAGAATACTGATAACCAGGCAGTGGCAACTGGATTATACTCATATGATTAATCTCTAAGGTTGCAGGAGATGGTAAAAGGCTTGGATTGCATGAGTGAGTCTCACGGGAAATAGAAATTCACAGACTTAACACGAATAAGGACTTGGTCTAGTGGTAATACTACTAGCCTAAAATCTGGGGTCCCAGGTTCGAATCCCTTAAGTAGAAACTTAATCACAAAAAAAGAAACATATATCACTCTTATCAAAGAAATTCACATACTTAACCAACAAGGTAACATATAGGCTGCATTAGGTGGTGGCATATAGATTTTCGAAAGAAAAAAAAAGTGGTGACATATACGCTTTTTATGTGTGATATTCTGGTTTTAGTTTTCACGTATGAGTGTGATTTGGTTAATTGATGTTGTGCAGTGCGTATGTAATGACTTTTGCTTGTGACTTTTGAGTGATTACTATCACTTAAAAGAAACCCAACAATCTCGTTAAAACTATCTCAACAATCTCAAAGTTTAGTAGATATATTACTATCATTCATTACTTTTCAGTGATGGTTTTCATCACATCAACAAAACAATTAGTGTATTGTTTGATAATAAACAAAAACAAAAACAAAAAAAACAATGCATTGTTAACAATCTCATCTAAACTATCACCAAAGTCCAAAACCAAACGACCCCCGCCCTCTCTTATTAACCAAAACAGTAAAAGGATACATAAGCATTGCACTACCTTCGAACAGTACATCGACCAATGTCGTATTTGTTAGTGACTGATAATACGATCAAATGATTGCAGCCTAGTTATTCTGCTAACTGGATAAGTTGTTAGTATATACTAACTAATATCCAAAATGTATGAACATGTATCCAAGTTTGCTGAGTATCTAGATAGCACAGACTAGTATTCAAAACATCACAAACTAGTATCCAGATAGCAGATACCAACTAATATCCACAATCAACCAACTAGTATTCAATATTGATACTCTTATGTGTTATTTGGATACTTTTATGTGTTATGTGGATACTAATTATGTGTTGTATGGATACTATTCTGTGTTGTCTAGATATTTGTTTGCGAATTTGAGATAATAGTTGATTCGTGGTGGATATCAGTTAGCAAACTTTGAATACTAGTATGTGATCTCTAGATACTTTAGTACTTGGATACTAGTTGATGTATTTTGGATATCAGTTAGTATCTGCTAACGAATTTTCAAGTTAACAGATTAACTTTTCCCAAATGATTGAACCACTCCCGACAACTCAGAATCATCGGAATCCCCCACTCTTTCATGGCAAAAATCTTATTAGTCCTTTAATGAAAACTATAAAACTCAAATCTCATGTAACAAAGCTCGGAGCGGAACACAGCACCGGCGCTGTGGTAACATTCATGGAGGAGCGTCTTCCTCGCCCTCCTGAGGCACCGCCCGCATTCCTCCGGTTCCGGCCACGGGCAAAAGGCGGCGCCGTAGACGTGAGGATCGTCGGCAGGGTATTGGAATTCCCAATTGAGATGGGGTCCCCCCGCATCCGACGAGTACTGAACCAGATTCTGGAGCACCACCGTGATGCCCGTCCGGAGCTCGTTGTCGCCCTTGAAGTACTTGTCGGGGCTGCAGGACAGAGTGTACAGATAGCCGGCGGCGGCGGCGGCGGCGGAGAGAAACCACAGCATCATCGCAGAGAAACAGAGCATCAGCGAGTTCCTACTTTTCTCCATACTGCTAGTTTGGTTTTTCTTCTGTTTGTGCAAATGGAACGTGTTCTATATATATAGCTCGCGAAAGGAAAACAGGATGATGAGTAATTTGGAGTTGCTGGAATTGAAAACAGCATATTCGTGTTGGCCGGCTTTTGGTTTGTTTGAAGAATCCGTAGAAGGAAGCAATCGATTTGCTGAATCTTTGGTGTTTAAGAGTTTTGTTTGTTTGTTTGTTAATAGGGGGAAGATGTGATTTGCAGGGCAGAGGAAGGGAAATTGTTTGTTGTGTTCTTTTTCTATTATCATTTGCGTCTTGTCCTAGCATATTTATGTACATCCAATTACATTTTATTTTAATACATAAATAGGGCTGGCAGAACGGTTTTCGGTTAGCAGTTAACCGGTCGGTTACGACCGAACAGCCGAAAACTGCTCTGTATTGGGGTCGGTCGATTGTCGGGGGAGAGGGGGAGAGGCTCGGCTAGCCGATTAACCGCGGTCAGTAACCGGCGGTTAACCGGCTAACCGACCACCGCCCCTTGAGTCAAAACGACCCAACCAGCCAGCCCCAAAACGACCCCTTCCCCCAACCAGCCAGCCCCAAAACGACCCATTCCCCCACTCCTCTCCAACCCTAATCGCCACTTCTTATTCTTCTTCCTCCTCACAAAGAACTCCCCATCCCTTCAACCTCATCTCGATCTCCTCTCTGCTCCCACCCACCTTCCATTCTCTTCTCATCTTCACAACTTCATCACTTCCATCAATATACCAATTTCACCCGATTCTCCAAGTGTAATCCCAAACCCAATCCAATCTTCATGACCACATACCCTAAACAACCACGCATCCCTTTTCACCAGAAATCCCACGAAATCGAAAACCCCTTCTCCCCACTATAAAACAAACAAACCAACCCACCCAAATTTACAAACACACAATCCAATTCCCCACAGAAAAAAAAGAAAAAAGATGGCCAAAACCCGCGTCGTTCTGGGGGCGGCTCTGCTTCTGCTGGCAATTACGACGCTAGGCGCCGACGGCAGAACATGCGGCGTCGACGTCCAAGGCGTGGCGGAGGAATCTCGGCCGGTAACTTGACGGATCTGAAGGAAGCCGTGGAGTCGACGAGCTGCGGCGGCGGTTCGAGAAGTCTCCCGCCGTGAGTAGTCTCCCGCCACCGCGAGTCGTCTCATGCAGCGGTTTTCTTCCGGTGGAGGAAGGGGAGAGAGGAGAAGATAAGGTTCTGGTGGAGAAAATGGTGGGGAAGGAAGGAGAGAGAAGAGAAGGGTCTGGTGGAGGAAGGGGAGAGAGGAGAAGATAAGGTTTGAGATTGAGTGGTGCAGATTTTTTCTTCTTTTTTAAATTTTTTTTTTTTTGGAAAATGTAATTTTTTCGGTTGGCCGGCTAACCGAGCCCAAAACCGGAATCGCTCGGTCGGTTGGCCGGCTAACCGTGCCCTTTCTTCGGTCGGTGGTCGGCAGCTTAAGGGGGGTCTCGGTTTAACCGATAATCGGGTTTTCGGTTTTCGGTTAAACCGAAACCGACCGGTTGCCACCCCTATACATAAATGTCAAGGCTTGGTGTTACTATTCATTAGTGATTCTCACACTCCTCCTTACAAGTGGGCAAGTTTCAGCTTCAATCTTTTACCTCACTCTCTCATTTTATAATCGTTGTGTTCATTAATTGTACGTTGGGTCTACATCTATTGCCCATTAGGTTTCGTCTATTTTTCATTGTGTTTCCTATTTACAACAATTATCTATTAAATTTCCGTCTATGATCTTTCGCCCAAATCATCGCCTTGGCCCACCAATTATCAACCCATCTTGAAACACTATCGACAAGTTGTCCTCTTCCGCCGTTTACCACGACCGCTACCGAAGATCCATACCATATCTGTAAATACATTCGGCTAAATCCTAAGTTGTACCCATCCATCATGTCCCAAGACTAATGGGACCGAGTTTTGTATTCTTTAGTGTTTTCTTATTTCTCTTTTTCTTTTGGTTAAGCATGACAATTGAACTCAAACTCATGGGTATCCAACCTAATTCGACCAGGTCAAAGCGACTTCAACTCGACTTTAGCAATTTTAAATTTCTTTTCGTTGAGAATGACAATTGAACCCAAACCCATGGTATTGACGAGTTTTGTATCGAGAGCTAGTTTATCCGCTTTTGTAATTGGCATGTCGAGTCGAGTGTGAATTTGTTAAAAACTCTATTCGACCCGGTCAAAGCTAGTTGAACACAGTGTTGACGAGTTTTGAATCGAGAGCGAGATTTGTCTGTTTAATGTTATTTTGTTTTTCTATTTATTTTTCGTTGAGAATGACAATTGAAACAAGACTCGGTGCTGACGAGTTTTGTATCGGTAGCGAATTTTATCTGATTTTAGAATTGGCATTTTGAGCCGACTGTGAATTATTAAAAACTCTATTCGAACCAGTAAAGGCGAGTTGAACTTGTTGTGTAGAGTTTTTTTTTTTTTTTGGTGAGAAACAGAGCGCAACGGGGCGCTCTAACCCTTAAATATTAATCACACGCGGGGTCTGAATCCCAATAGAGTCAAAATACAACCAGTATCTCAAAGTAGCACTCGGAACAGAAATCAAATGCACTCCCACAGGTAGAGTGTGGCCCACCGAAGCTAAGTAGTCCGCTGTGAAGTTCGCTTCTCTGAACACATGACCAAGCGAAACAGTCCATTCCCGCGCCAAGAGTCGGCGAATATAGGACACCATCGTATAATGAGGATGGGAAGTAGTAATCCCCTGGATTAAGGATAAAGCCGTCGAAGAATCAGTATGCACCATCACCTGACGGTGTCCTCGGTCCCAGGCGATTTGTAATCCGTGCGCGATCCCGGCCAGTTCCGCACTGGTGATAGAGCCCCCGCCCAAGTTAATAGCATAAGCCGCCTCGAACCTTCCCTCGCTGTCGCGTAAGATTCCTCCCGCCGCCGAACTTACCTGTGCCCAAACAACCGACCCGTCTGAATTTAGACATATCCAACCAGGCGGAGGTTTCTGCCAACATATAAAGCTTCTTACACTCGACTGGTCTTCACTCACAGCAGCCCTGCCTTTCTCAAAAGCCTCAGCCGATTGCTCACTTATCTGTTTAGCTACTTGGAGAACTTGACCCGGCCTCGCCAACTGCTTCTCGAAAACCCAGACGTTCCGGTTCTTCCATAATTGCCAACAAAGTATTGCAAAAGTGGACTGTCCAATGATTTTGCTTTTACCTGAGATATAGTGGAGCACCCATTTCGTAACGTCATCTTGGAAGAACACCTGATCCGACTCTCCTTCCAACAGACCCGACCAGACCTCGCGCGCATAGGGGCAGTCCCGGAGCACATGTAGGACAGATTCCGGGCCCTTCCCACAGATTGGGCAATCATCCGAGCCTGACAAATGTCTCCTTCGTCGTTCCTTATTAGTGAGCAACTTCCCATGCAGCACTAACCAAAAAAGGACCTCGTACGTTGCGGCCCTTGAATCTTTCAAGCAGCCCGCCACACTGGATGTTCCTCTCCGAATTCCTCTTCTTCTCGCAACAAGTCAGCAGCTGAGTGAACTGTAAATCTGCCCGTTTCCGAGGCCCGCAAGGTTGGAACATCGTGTTCGACCCCTTCCGGCACCGGGTGGAGCTGAATCTGGAAGACGAGGGCTTCAGGGAGGAAAGCCCGAATGTAGTCTAGATTCCACTGCCCATTCAACACTACTTCTGCCACCGTTAGCCCGTTAGCTTCCTCAGGGAGATCCGCCGCAAAATGCTTAAGAGGAGGGCCATCCTGCAACCATCTATCAGTCCAGAAACGAGTTTGCATTCCGCTTCTTATGTTCCACACAGTACATTCCGGGATAAGGTGTAACAGCCGGAGAACTCCTCTCCAAAGATTCGACAACCTACCAGTCCGCCGCGGCTGCCATACCCCATCAACCTCTCGAAGATATTTGCCGCGAATAACCTGCGCCCATAGGCTGTCCTGCTCGATAAATAACCGCCAGGTGATTTTCAGCATAAATGCATCATTCATCCTCGTCGCATTCCTCAGGCCCAGCCCCCCTTCCGACTTCGGGCGACACATCGTTTCCCAGTCCACTAGATGAATCTTTCTTCCCTGTTCCGAGCTCCCCCATATAAAAGCTCTAATTTTCTTATCAATGTATTCTCTTACTGAAGCAGGAAGAAGGGCAGTCTGCATCGTATAGGCCGGAAGCGAAGCCAGAACTGACTGAGCTAGAGTAATTCGGCCGGCCAAAGTCAAAGAATTCACTTTCCACCCTGCAAGCCTGGCGTCAATTTTTTCGATGAGCTCAGTGAAAGTGGACTTCGACACTCTACCATGTATCACAGGAACTCCGAGGTAACGACCCAGGTTCTTCGTCTCCGGAATGTTAAGGGTAGCGCTTAGTGAAGCACCAAGAGATCCCGAAACATTCTTTGAAAAGAATATTCTCGACTTCGGGCGGCTAACCTCTTGACCAGACGCCATTCCAAACTCCTCCAGACACTGCGAGATCACCTGTACCTGTTCCATCGAAGCCACACTAAAGAGGATTAGATCGTCAGCTAAAAACAAGTGCGACAGCTTCGGTCCTTGATGGGAGAGTCGGATTGGCTGCCACTCCCCTGAGTCAACAGTAGCATCAATTAGGTTGTGTAGAGTTTTTGGTGGGGAATGAGTATTATCCGCTTTAGTGTTTTTTATTTATCTTTTTCTTTTTGCTTTAGAACTCAAACCTATGGGTATCCAACCTAATTTAACTTGATAAAAATGACCCAATGTTTACAAGTTTTCAGGAAGAAGTGAGTTTTATTTGCTTTTGTAATTGGCGGGTCGATTCGGTTGTGAATTTGTTACATACTTGGTTTAACCAGATCAAAGAGAGTTGAACATGATGTTGCCGAGTTTTGGGTCATGAGCGAGTTTTATATGCTTTTTTAATTGTTGGTTGGGTCGGTTGTGCATTTCTTACAAACTCGGTTCAACCCGATCAAAGAGAGTTGAACTTGATAATACCGAGTTTTGGGTCATGAGCGAGTTTTATCCTCTTTGATGTCTCTTTTTCTTTTTGGTTGAGAATGAACTTGGAAAAAAAAAAGCAAAAAGAATATAAACTAATCAATAGTGTTACGAGAGAAGATTTAACAAAGAAATCATTTGTTCAACGACCCTTCTGGCTTATTAAAGTTTATCGTTGCGTCGACTACAAGAAGTTGTAAATGACAAACCCTTTACTTTTGGATCAAAATTCAAACTATTAATCTTTAAAATATCATGTTATCGCTCACACGCGAGAGACATTGAGCGAGTATATGCTAGTATGTAGAAAAATAATTAAGAAAAAAAATTCAATGCTTCCAAACACATATTCATATATGTTTGCATTGGAGGCCGATGTTAGGCTTTTAAGTTTCAACACTCGATTTCTTGACATGGTGCGAACAATAGATCCAACCGAAAGGGTTGACCGCAATTAATGTGAATTTGTGAAGAGACGACACGCTTGTCACTATAAAAGATTTAAGAGGCACAAGCGTGTGGCGTTGGTCGTTAATTCTGTGTTACATGCCTCACCACCAGTATTTTGAAGCATATCAGAAACACAACAAATCATACCACAAATAACATTAAGGAGAACAAAAAGTTTCTATAGCATATGAGAACCTCACCACGCTACAAAATTTATAAAGCAATTAAGAAATCTCATAAAGCATACCACAAGTTTCCGGAAACATATAATAAACCTAATAAATTAGACCACGAGTTTATTAAAGCAGACAACAAGTTTTTTATAGCACGTCAACGAATGGTATGGAATCCCATTCCACTGAATTCAACTCCATTGATTTTTGTTTCATCTTTCACTGGTTATCACTAATGGGTTTCATCCCTTCTTTCCTCTTTCCCCTTCTTCTTCTTCTTCTCCTGTGGCAGTTGTTCCTGCTTCTACGACTGCATTGAGGGCTGCCTGGATTTCCTGTGCTGCTCTTACCTCTGCAGCAGCTAATAATAGATTCAGGTGTTATGAATTTTTTTTGTTTTTTTGTTCTGATGTGCACAGAGAGAGATAACGTATTGTACTGGTTTCGGAGACTCAATCAGTGAGAAAAGCTTCATATATGATTGGCATGTGATTGTATATAATGACATGTAGGTTTTTATGTGTGATATTCTAGTTTTAGTTTTTAAGTATGAGTGTGGTTTGGTTAATTGATGTTGTGTCGTGCAGAGGAACCTAACAATTTCGTCAAAATTATCTCAACAATTTCAAGTTTTAGTAGATATATTGCTATCATTCATTCTGACTTCTCGGTGATAGTTTTCATCACATCAACAAAAACAATTGGTGTATTGTTTAATAATAAACAAAAAAGAAAAACAGCGCATTGTTAACAATGCACACATTGTAACAATCTCATCTAAACTATCACCAAAACCAAACGACCACTCTTTTATTTTTCCCCCTTTCTTATTAACCAAAACAGTAAAAAGGTTACATAAGCATTGCACTACAACCGAACAGTACATCAACGAAAAGTGGAGAATACAACCTATGCCGTATTTGTTAGTGACTGATAATACGATCAAATGATTGAACCTCTCCCATCAACTCGAATCATCGAAACCCCCCGCAAAAATCTTATTAGCCCCTCAATGAAAATTAAAAACTCAAATCTCATGTAACAAACCTCGCAGCGGAACTCAGCACCGGCGCTGTGGTCACATTCGTGGAGGAGCGTCTTCCTAGCCCTCCTGAGACACCGCCCGCATTCCTCCGGTTCCGGCAGCCGGCAAAAGGCGGCGCCGTAGAAGTGAGGATCGTCGGCAGGGTATTGGAATTCCCAATTGATCTGGGTTCCCCCCGGATCCGACGAGTCCTGAACCAGACTCTGGAGCACCACCGTGATGCCCGTCCGGAGCTCCTTGTCGCCCTTGAAGTACTTGTCGGGGCTGCAGGACAGAGTGTACAGATAGCCGGCGGCGCCGGCAGCGGCGGAGAGAAACCACAGCAGCATCGCAGAGAAACAGAGCATCAGCGAGTTCCTACTTTTCTCCATACTGCTAGTTTGATTTTTTTCTTCTGTTTGTGCAAATTGAACGTGGTCTAGCTATATATATAAAAGGAAAAAAGGGATGATTGAGTAATTTGGAGTTGCTGAAACTGAAAACAGCATATTCGTGTTGGCCGGCTTTTGGTTTGTTTGAAGAATCCGTAGAAGGAAGCAATCGATTTCCTGAATCTTTGGTGTTGGAGTTTTGTTTGTTAATAGGGGGAAGATGTGATTTGCAGGGCAGAGGAAGGAAATTGTTTGTTGTGTTCTTTTTCTATTATCGTTTGCTTCTTGTCCTAGCATATTTATGTACATCCAATTACATATGTAGAAAAATAATGTAAGAAAAAAATAATAATTAATGTTTCCAAACACTTATATTCATATATGTTTGCATTGGAGGCCGATGTGAGGCTGTTAACACACTCGATTTCTTGACATGGTGCGAAAATTAGCTTCGACCAAAAGAGCTGACCACAATTAATGTGAATTTGTGATGCGATGACACGCTTGTCATTATAAAAGATTTAAGAGGCACAAGCGTGTGGCGTTGGTCGTTAATTTCGCATTACATGCCTCACCATCAGTATTTTAATTTGAAGCATACCATAAACACAACAAATCATACCACAAATAACATGAAGCAGAACAGAAAGTTTCTAAAGTAGATGAGAACCTCACCACTCCACAAAATTTATAAAGCAATTAAGGAATCTCATAAAGCATATCACAAGTTTCTTAGAGCAGAGCATAAGTTTCCGGAAACATATAATAAACCTAAAAAATTAGACCACGAGTTTATTAAAGCACACAACAGGTTTTTTAATAGCACGTCCGGAATATCATAAATTTGATCATAAGTTTTTAAAGCATACCCGAAATCTCATTAAATTGGACCTGTTCGTAAATTTTAAAAAGCTAAGGTATCAAAATATAATACATAAAAAAATTTAGGTACAAAAAAGTAATTTATCATTATTTTAGGATTTGAATGAAAAAATAGTCAATTATAGGCACCAGTTCATAAAATATATTATGTTTAGGTACCAAATTGTAATTTGCATATAAAACTCAAACCCATGGTATGGAGGGCAAGGAGGTGTTATAAGTGGTATTATAATTAATCTTATAATTAGTGTTAGTAGTGTGCTTACATATGCTACAGCATCTTATGAAGGCTCTTTTTATAGAATATCAAACTTTATATGGTTTACATAATGATATCCTCTTTGATATATTTTAAAATAAATATTTTTATTTTTTGAAAATTTATGACCACAAAACGAATTCGCGTGACATGTTTCTATACTATGGGAGGAGATATGGTAATTAAGGCCTGTTACCGGCTCGTTAACATGTTAAAAAACTTAACCGGCTAACCCAATTACCAATTTACCGTCCCCGGATGGATAAATAAACCATACCCTATAACCCAGCGTTTCTCTTAAAATTTATCACAATTGAAACCAAACCCACATGCAACTTTTCACATACCGCGCCTTAGCCCAAGGTATTTTCTAGAATGTTTTCACCATGGTGATATATGATGTGATAAGGAATGATCGGGCAGCAAAAATGAGTTCATTACATTCTCTAAGTTCGAACCGAAGGACAAGCTTTTGAAATCAACTTGTCTTTGATATTATCCAAACCTTTTTCAGATTCTTTTATATCATCCAAACCTATCGAAATACTAAGAATTAACCAAATGTTAACTTTCAGTTATCAATTTTGTTAGTAATATTGACTTGACATTATGATAATGACTTGGAAGAGACAGATGAAGGTCAAGATTCCAAAATTTTAGTATTTTAACTAAGAAAAGAGTTACAAAATTATAAAGCAAATAAGATATCTCATAAAACATACCACAAATTTCCGAAAACATATAATACACCTTATAAATCAGACCACGAGTTTATTAAAGCAGACAACAAGTTTTTTATAGCACATCAGGAATCTCATAAAGCATACTATAAGTTTTTTAAAGCATACCCGAAATCTCATTAAATTGGACATGTTCGTAAATTTTAAAAAGTCAAGGTATCAAAATGTTATACATAAAAAATTTAGGTACTAAAATGTATTTTTTATTTTAGGACTTGAATGCAAAAATAATCAATTTTAGGCACCAATTCATAAAATATATTATGTTTAGGTACTAAATTGTAATTTGCATATGAAACTTAAACCCATGGTATGGAGGGCAAGGAGGTGTTAGTGTAGTTACTAATTATTATAATTAATCTTAGACGTTAGATCCTGATATACAAACCGCATACCAATATCATCGGTTAAACGATTTAACCGATAATCACCTGTTACATGTTCGATAACATGTTAAAAAAGTTAACCGGCTAACCCAACTACCAGCCCTAGATAGATAGATAGATAGATAGATAGATAGATAGATAGATAGATAGATAGATAAACCATACCCTATAACCTAGCCATTCTCTTAAAATTTCTCACACTGAAACCAAACCTCACATGCAACTTTTCACATACCGCGCCTTCGCCCGAGGTATTTTCTAGTATATGTTTTCACCAGGGGTGATATTAATATATAAAAGCCTAGGTTTGAGTTACTTTTCATTAGTGGCTCTCACACTCCTCCAAATGCAAGTGGGGAAGTTTCAACTCATTCTTTTACCCCACTCTCCATTCTACAACATTTGTATTTAGTTATAGTCTGCTAGGTTTTCGTCTATGAATTTTTGCACAAATCATCGCCTTTGTGTTTTGTTATTGTTCGTTAGGTTTTCGTATATGGCTTTTTGCACAATCATCGTCTTTGAGTTTAGTTATTGTTCGCTAGGTTTCCATCTATGGCTTTTTGCACAAATCATCGCATTTGCCCAACATTTTGCAGCCTATCTCGAAATACAGTCGACGGAATCCTAAGTTGTTCCCCACCAACGTTTCCTAAGGAAGCTACCACGATTTTTGTATCGGGACCGAGTTTCATCCTCTTTAGTATTTTTTTTATTTCTTTTTTTACTTTTTGTTGAGCATGATCACAATTGAACCCAAACACAAGGGTATCATAACTTAAAAAAAATCATCGCCTTTGTCCATCATTTTGCAGTCCATCTCAAAATACTGTCGACGGGATCCTAAGTTGTTCCTCATCATCGTTTCTCAATGCCGCTACAACGAGTTTTGTATCTGGACCGAGTTTCATCATCTTTAGTGTTTTGTACAAATCATCGCATTTGCCAACCATTTTGCAGCCCATCTCAAAATACTGTCGGCGGAATCTTAAATTGTTCCCCCACCATCGTTTCCCAAGGCCGCTACCAAGAGTTTTGTATCACGACCGAGTTTCATCCTCTTTAGTGTTTTTTCTTTATTTTTTTCCTTTTTATTCAGCATGATCACAATTGAACCCAAATCCGTGGGTATCCAACCTAATTCGATCCAGTCAAAGCGACTTGAAACCGACTTTAGCATTTATAAATTTCTTATTTCTTCTTCTTTTGGTTGGGAAGACAATTGATCCCGATCTAAGGTTTTGACGAGTGTTGTATTGTGAGCTAGCTTTATCCGCATTTGTAGTTGGTAGGTTGGACCAAGTGTTAATTTGTTAAAAATTGTTCAATGCGAGTTGAACACGTTGTTGACCAGTTTTAGATCGAATGCGAGTTTCGTACGCTTTAATTTTTTTTTATTTCTCATTTTCCTTTTCGTTGAGAATGACAATTGAACTCTGACCCATCGTTGATGAGTTTCGTATCGAGAGCGAGTTTTTATCCACTTTTGTAATTGACAGGTTGGGTAAATTGTGAATTTGTTAAAACTAGGTCGACCCGGTCAAGAGTTGAACGCAGTGTTAAGAGTTTGGGGTCATGAGTGAGTTTTATCCACTTTAGTATTTTTTTTATTATCTTTTTCCTTTTGGTTAAGAATGATAATTGAGTTCAAACGCATAGGTATACAACCTAATTCGACCAGACCAAAGCGACTTGAACCCGATTTTACTGGTTTTCGGAGGGAGCGAGTTTTATTTGTTTTTGTAATTTGCGTGTTGTGTCAGGTGTGAATTCGTCCAAAACTCGGTCCAACCAGGTCAAAGCGAGTTGAACCTTGGTCTGACGAGTTTTGAATCGGTAGCGAGTTTTAGCTTTGGTGTTTTTCATTTCGCTTTTTTCTTTTGTTTGAGAAAGACAATCGAACCCAAAATCCATGGGTATCTAACCTAATTTGACCCGATCAATGCGAGTTGAACCTCCTCAAACCTGCAATCAGTCCAAAATTTTCATAAAGGAACATAACGATTACCTCAATCCCAAAAAATAAGACGTACAAATTGAAACAATATCGTCATGAAAGAAATTTAAAAATAAATAATCTAGTTGACGACCCCTCTACCTTACGCAAGTTCAACGACCTTATGCTATTGTAAATAACAAACCTATAAAAAAATGATTAACAATGAAATAAGATAACTTTCACTTTTGAATCAGCAAAATGAGTTCATTGCATTCTCTAAATTCGAATAAAATTTTGAAATCAACTTTTGTCTTTTTATTAACCAGAAATAGTAAAGGATACATAGTTAGTAGTGCACTAACTCGGCGCCGTGGAAACATCACCAACTCACTCAAGAATCGAAGTTGTAAAACTCAAATCTCAGGTAACAGAGCTCGGAGTAGAACTCAGCGCCGGCGCCGTGGAAACATCCATGGAGAAGCATGTTTCTAGCCATCCTGAGACACCGCCCGCAGTCCGCCGGTTTATCAGACGACTGGCAGAAGGAAGCACCGTAAACGTGAGGATCGTCGGCAGGGTAGTGGAATCCCCACTGGATTTCGGATCCCCCTGGCGCCGCCGTCACCTGGATCAGATTCTTGAGCACCGCCGCGATGCTCGCCCTGAGATCGCGGTCGCCCCTGAAGTACATGTCCTGGCTGCAGTAAAGAACATAGGGCTCGTCGTCGGGGACATAATCAGCAGAAGCAGTAATTACGCCGTTGAATCCCAGCTGGAGAAACCAGAGGAGCGTC